CACATCAAGCACTCAGTGCTGATGCAGCTTGGTGTCCCTCTCCCAGGCTCTGCGAGGGCTGCATTTTTAGATGTGACATTGACCTGAGGCCCTATCTGCCCCTCTCAGGGCATCCACACCTTTATTTAAAGGAGGACAGGGCCAGTGCCACCATCCTAAAGCCTGGAATGCTAACACTATTCTCTCTCTCTCTGCAGATGCTGCCAGAGCTGGTGAATTTCTCCAGGGGACTCTGTTTCAGTCTGACACTGATACTCCCCCCACCCCCACCCCCGCACTGACTGCGCGTACACGAAAGCATCCCCAGCCTGACCTGAAGTCGCCCCTGTTATTGGTGACCCTTTCAGCCTGACAGTATGTTGCAGATGTGTCGATGACCACAATGTCCACTTTCCTGGATGCATTGCCACGCGAGGTTGTGATGACACATTCCCATTCTCCACTAGCAAGCAGGTAGACGTGTGAAAGGATCAGCTCGCTGCAAGACACAAGGACCAAGATCAGTTTAACCCTTGCGTCAACTGACTGCAATTTGAAAGGAACAAAGATGCATTTCAGTCAGCGTTGGATCAGTCCGTTGAGTATAGGAGTTGGGAGGTTATATCGCGGTTGTACAGGACATTGGTTCGGCCACTTTTGGAATACTGCGTGCAATTCTGGTCCCCCTGCTATAGGAAGGATGTTGTGAAACTTGAAAGGGTTCAGAAAAGGTTTACAAGGATGTTGCCAGGGTTGGAGGGTTTGAGCTACAGGGAGAGGCTGAATAGCCTGGGGCAATTTTCCCTGGAGCATCAGAGGCTGAGGGGTGACCTGATAGAAGTTTGTAAAATCATGAGGGGCATGGATAGGGTGAATAGACAAGGTCTTTTTGCCAGGGTGGGGAAGGCCAAAACTAGAGGGGCATAGGTTTACGGTGAGAGGAGAAAGATTTAAAAGGGACCTAAGGGGTAACTTTTTTACGCAGAGGGTGGTGTGTGTATGGAATGAGCTGCCAGAGGAAGTGGTGGAGGCTGGTACAATTACAACATTTAAATGGCATCTGGATGGGTACATGGATAGGAAAGGTTTAGAGGGATATGGGCCAAATGTGGGCAAATGGGACTGGATTAATTTGGGATATCTGGTCAACATAGACAAGTTGGACTGAAGGTTCTGTTTCCATGCTGTACAGCTCTATGACTGTATGAGTCTGCAGTTAGAGATTATGACAATGTCGGGTTGACAGAGAGTGTTATGTTCCCATCTCGGTTTGATTTTGGATCAGTCAGATCCCAGAATGAAGGTTGGCTTGCTCAATCTTCACTTTGTTTCTCTTTAAAATGGCGAGGTCACTTATTGCACACATTCACAGGAGCCTGCAAGTGTACTTTTAACACCAAGAAGAACATATTTATGAAACAGGAAAAGAAAACATCAAGTGTACAACATCAGGGAAAGGAAAGGTTCAAAAGATTTCATGACAGACATGAGAAAAAGATTCGATTTGGCACCAGCCCTGTGAACCCAACAATATTCTGTTTGCCACTCAATCCTCAGTCAACGTGCAGTCACTCAGCCTCCAGCAAAAACAGTTAGAACCAGTTTCCTGTGGGCAAATGTTTATACAGTCACTCGAGGTTCTTTCATTTCAGCTGCCCTCTGCCCCCGGGACCACCTGACACAACATGCACACTGTTCCTCAGAACTCCCAAACAAATCCCTGCATAGTCTGAACTCAGCTGCCCATCTCCCTTGCCTCTAGCACACAGATGAAATGACTCACTGCTTTTTGAGACATTTCTGTGTGTGTGTGTGTGCGTGTGTCTGTGTCTGTATGTGTGTGTGTGAATATGTATGTCAGTGTGTGTGTGAGAGTGTGTGCATGTGACAGTGTGTGTGTCTGTGTGTGTGCATGCTAGTGTGTGGGTGTGTCTGTGTGTGTGCATGTGAGTCTGTGTGTGCATGTGTCTATGTGCACGTGCGTGTGTGTGACTATGTGTGCGTGTGTCTGTCTATGTGCATGACTCTGTGTGTGTGTGTGTGTGTGTGTGTGTGTGTGTGTGTGTGTGTGTGT